CTTTCCCTAAAGGGTTCCTTAAAAAATCATTACATTCGTGCTAAGAAATTTCATTTGCTTTGGACAAGAAGATCAGGGGAAATAAGTTTTTCTCACTGGGCTTTTAGCAGTTCTAATTTTGTAGTGATTGAGCATCGGCAGCAAAACAACCATCACTCAGAAGAGCTATATTACAGTGATAAATACTTCTGACTTGACTGAGTTATAGCCTGTGTAAAATTGCACTTTGCTTACCAGAATATATTTTGTACTGACTTAATCACACTAAATTCACAGAATTGGAAAACATGATAGCCTGTGTTGATGTATGTATGTATCTACCTTATTTGGACAGGGACAAATTTGTAATGAAAGTGTCATGTGAATTAATTCAGTAATCCTTGCTGATTACTACATTGCAAGGTGAAGGCTTCAGACTTTAACGTCTGCCTGTGGTGCTCAACTTTTCCAACACCATTCTCATGTGAGGCAGGATGACATGGTGAGTAGTTCTGCAATGTGAAGATGGTGTATTTCTTAACCTTTTCACAAAGCAGCAACAACTTCCAAATTTTCATTTTAAAAAAACAGTCTGAATTGGGAGCATAACAATGTTGCATATTTAAGTCCTAGAAGGTCAGGATACGATGATCACTTATGCATTTATTTCCGAATATGTTCTTCGCTTATGTGATCTCATTACTTAACAGTTTAATGCAGTAGAAATTTTTCTGTGAATGTGATGCAGGTGTTTATACTGCTCAGTTTGTGAAAACTATTTAATGTGGTAAATGCGTTAGTGTTTAACCTATTAGTGTCATGTTAGTGATGTGAAGCTGTCATTCTGTGGGAATAGCATGCTTTGATGAGGTTTTACATTTAAATATAGCAATATAAAATAGCAGTATATGGTTTCCTTTAGCAAGCAAATTGGCTAGAGGAGCAGGGTGGAATGTGTGTTTTCCAGCAATTCTTGAGTTTATAAATTGGTCTCTTCAGTGGGATCCACACAGGCTTATCAGAGACCTAGTGAACAAATGTGTCTGGGTTTTGAAAGCTCTTTTGCTAGGCTGCTTTTGGAACTGAAGGGAAAAGCCTGATTATTTGGATGTGGTTTATTCTTTTTCCCTTGATCTCTCCCTACACCTGGGTTTGCAGGAGAGATTGGCTCGGGACATGAACCTGCAGCCAACTCAGGTCTATAATTGGTTTGCAAATTATCGACGACGCCAAAAATCCTGCCTCCCTCATATGGAAGAGCTCAACAACTTCTGTCCTGAGAGGGCTTTGACTTACCACACAAAGGAGCAGCAGGATAAAGGATCGTACACTCCACAAACTGCAGGTTCGTCTCTTCCTAATGGGCTTAGGATGTGGCCCAGAAAGCTGAAAAACAAGGATATCCCTTCTCCAGAACAGCATCTATATGTTCATGGATCAGGTGGGCATTGGAGGACTCTACGTCAGTGGAGTGCCTCCTTGTTTGGCTAGAGGCTGTCACTCAATAGAAGGAGCAAACACTGGTAAGGCCTGTGCAAGGACAGATGAAAAGAGATGCCCATCTCCGAAGGGGCACCAAATGAAAGCAAATACATGGGAGGCAGCAGGGTTTAGCTCTCAGATTCTGGGATCAGGGCAGTACTCTAGTAAAACCCAGTATTTCCATGATCCTTCACAGAATCTTAACCAAACTTCAGTCATGGGGAATAAGAGGGTCTTGCTGCATTTGGCAAATTAGACTTGTTTTATTGCTTTTTGGAGTAACTATTAGTGTTCCTTCACCTGCCTGGCCTGCACCTTTCAGATGGATCTTGTGTAGGCATCAGCTCTGAGCAAATGGAGATAACCTTCATGCCCTGTGACCCAGGGTGGGAGCAGTCAGCTGCAGACCTGGATAAACTTCCTGAAGGAACATATTTAAAGATGCTGGAATCCAGGTGATGTATGAAAAAGTCTTCACAGTGACAGTTCAGAGATGAAGCAACCTTTAAACTTGTTCGTGGAACTGACTTTCATGTCAGTTCCCAGGGGACATCACGTAGGAATCTTGACACCATAGATGGGAATGGTCCATGCCCAGCATCAGGCAGTCAGAGCATCTAGCCGTTAATCTCCCAGCTGTCAAGGGCAGGATTCAAAGGTTTAGGTGGGGGTGCCTCCTCTGCAAAGCAATGTGTCTGGCTGATTTGTTTTCTTCATCATGACAGCTTTATGCAGAGCAGTGAGCTGTATGAAGTGAGGACAAGCAAGGCTTTGTTGACCACTCACAACACGGAACAACCTGTAGCTTTTTGCACTGAGGCTGTGCTGGAACCAGGAACCTGCTTTAACTCTGCTGTCCTGCAGCCCAGAGAAGTAACAAGCAGTACTGATGCCAGCCCACAGCTGGATAACTGTGTCCTGTGCTCTTGCGGGTCCCTTACCTTCCCAGACGAACAGCTGGCCATGTGGCAGGCCCCTTGCAGCACCAGAGGAGTCTCTGGCTCCGTGTGGACCCCAACTATAGAAGGTTAGTAAAACTGCTCCCAGATCATTGACCCTAAGAGTTTTCAAGCTTCTCCTCCCTTTGTCATAAACACTGTTGCTCACTTACATGGCTTTCTGATGTCATGACAAATGGGAGCAGGGCTTCTCTTGAGCTCTGGTTCTGCTCCTATAGTTGCTCAATGAGAAAACCTGTTGATGTAAGGTGTTGAAACAGACATTCTTACCTACTCTTTTGCTTAAACTGTAACTGCTCCCGTAAGATAGTACTTTTCCAGCAAGGTGGATTCCTTTTAGTATTTCCATTGGAAGAGTCCCTTCAGGTGTTGTCTGCTCACCCTGTCAGTTTGCAAGCTTCTGAGTTTTTAAATGCCTGTCATTCTTAAGAGGTTGCCTGAGCAGAGGCTGGGAACTTCCTAACTGTGACAAAGTGCTTGTCTTCAGCAACACATTTTCACTTTCCTTTCTCCTTCCTGCTATTCTTTCTCTCTCCCTCTGTGTTTCCTTCCTGTCCAGTCTTGTTTAGCATTCCCACCATCCCTTTTCTCTCCCTGTTCTTCAGAATAGCCTTGATAGGATATGTAATGGATGTCCGCCTGCTTTTGCTGTAGGTCTACAGAACAGAAAGTGCTGTAACTGCCATTCACCCAGCCTCTGTGAATGTGGAGCAAGGAGGGGAGGAATAACTGGGTCAGAGATTGGGGTCATGTTATCTGTAATTGTCTTTAATTTGAGCATTTATTTCAGCAGGTATCAGAGCTCCCTTGAGCAGAGTCCCTCAAGGTGGCTGTATTGAGGCCAGTTCAGGAAGAATCATTCAGCAGTCAGATTTAGAGGTTGAAAGCTTCATCCTTAGCGAAGGACAGCTAGGGACCCTGGAATCTATTCTTCCCCACAGGTAAAGGGAGCAGAAAGCACAGGGCTTCTTGAAAGCAAGAGTAATGATGATGCTGTGGGTCTAGCCTTATCCTGATCCCCCTGTTGAAGAGGGCTGCAAAAAGAGTGTAGTGATGCATCTTGTTCCAGGGCCCTGACTCTCCTTGTGTCTGTCATATTTTGCAGATATTTATATCTGTGCACTGGAAATGGGAAATGCTGTGTAAGTGTATATGTGTTTTATGATGGTGGCACAAAGGAGATTCAGGACCAGCCCCATCAGAAAATATGTGAGCAGCTCTCTTCAAAGCAGCTTTACCTTCTAGGCTATTTGCCTGTTTTTCTTTTTGGCAGAAAATCATAACCTATACTGATCTCAGCGAGAGCTGATTCTGTGGGCTGGGTTGGTAGGGCCCATATTTAATCCTAAAATAGTTTTTGTAGCTTCATAACCTCATGACAAGATTATTCCATAGTGCAAGCTTTCCAAATTGGAAGACAGAAAGACAGGCACTGTTCTATCTTTCTGTTTTCCACCTGTATCAAATGTTTCAGACTGCAGCTTCTCTGGGACTTGAGATAAATTCACAGAATGCAAAACAACAAAAATCTCTGCCATCTTCCATATGTTATACAACTTCCATAATGTTTCATAAAAATAAATGCTGCCAAACAGACATTACGAGGTTACTTTAATTTACAGATCTGTATGACAGAACAGGAGCAGTAGCCCCATTTCGCAATCCTTCTGCTTGACACTGTCCAGCATTTGTGCTAGCATGACACTGTCAATAGTATGTCAAAGTAGGTAGAAGCAGTTTTATTCCCACTTTATAGATGAGGAAGCAGAGGCACGGAGAGGCTTTGTGGCTTGTCAAGCAACAAGGGGAGGCAGTGATTCACTGGAGATAAAGATCAGTGGTTTTTTGCCTCTCAGTTCCCTGCTAAAATAATTTCTGCCTTTTACCCCTGTTTCCCAGTTGGCTTGGGTGCCTACAGCTGTTCACATTCATGTCAGACTCCCTGCTCTGAAATGGTGGGGAGAACCCAGGTCTGGGCATTGTAAACCCACCTCAGTCTGTGTTTTAGGATTCACAGTTTTAAACAGTGGCTAAAGATCGTGAAGGATCAGTGAGACTTGCTGGCAACATTTTGGCTGGATTTAAAATTGCATGTTCTGACTCTAGAGTGAGCTCATATTTATTTTTAAAATATGTTCCGCCAGTAGAAGAAATCTATGGTGAATGTCTCCTTGTTGGGTATGTCAGTTGTGCCAGGAATCCACACACCCTTTATCGTATTCCTGGCAGGGGCAGGACATGCTGCTTTGTTGACACCTTCTGGAGAGGATACAGTTCTTTTGAATTCTATTCATAAATACTGTTCAGTGGCCTGGTCCAGCTCCCCCAAAAACCTTGAACTTTCCAAAATACCATGAATGCTATGGAACAGCAATCTCTCTAGAAACGAGCGATGCTTAGGCTGCAATTTCATTTAGGCCCTTTTGCTTGCAGTTTCTCTCTAGAGACCCAGGAGACCTCACGTGGGTAGTCTTGGGTAAGATCGTTGCTCAGTGAATGGCAATGAATGAGGATCACCTTTGTTATCAGGCACAGCCCTCTGACAAGAGTTCCTGGATTAGGGAGAAGTATTGTGTCACCAGAGTCATCTTTGGCAATAATGTTACAATGAGCATCACTCATCTGGGGACTCATGAAGGAGTCAACAGCTTAAACCGTAAGGCAAATGAGTGTTGCTATCCTGGAAAGACAGGGCAGTGAAGTTATCCCCGCTTTACTTTTAGATAAGAGTAAAGCACAAAGGAGGAAATTATTTGTCCAAGGTCACCCACCTGGCATGGACTTAGTGTTATGCTCTTCCTGCCTTGCCAACACCTGTGGCTCCCTGCGTCGTAAGTGTAGGGGTAGAGCTACAAGTCAGCCAGAGGACCCTTAACCTGCTTGTCTCATTTTTAAAGGTTGTCACCTGGAGAAGACTTGGCCTGAAAGCTTATTAGAATGATTCCAGCTGATTTCTTTCATGGGCTTTTTACAGTCGGTCCTACACACTTGAGCTGTATCCAAATCTCTTATGATCTACAGGGCTGTGAGGTGGGAGTGTGAGGGGGAGCCAGGCTGGAAGCTGACTGTCTCCATCTGCTCCTGCTGCCTGGCAGGAGAGTTTGATCCAGCTAGCGAACTGGAAGTCCCTGTGGGACACCAAACAGATGCTCGCCTTTACAGATAGTGGTGGTGTAGCCTCTTCACTCCTCAAGTTGGAGTGAAGGTGGAATGTAGCCCAGCTGCAGTTCATGCAGAGTATAACTCTCTTGTGCCTCACATTTCAAACAGAAAAGCACACTGAACTCTATGGAGCAAGACAGACTGCATTTATGAGCCGGCATATTGATTTAGAAAACATCAGTGCTGAGACGCTTGTTGCAGCTTACCCCTCTGCCTGCTTTTTTGGGATTCCAGCTCGGAGCGTTAGGAATCCTCCTGCTGTTAGGCTCTCCCCTCTGGATAACCCAGCACTCAGACCCTGGCAGGCAGCAAGTTCAAAACGCACAAAAGGAGGTTACTTTTTGGCATGTTGCATAATTAAATCACTGAATTTGTTGCTAAGGGCATTGTGCATGTCAGTTTAAGTGGGCTATGAAAAAGAGTGAGACAAATTCTTGGAGGGGCAAGGGTTTGAGTCCGTTTGTCATTAGCATGTCTAATTGCCTGAATGCAGCCTCTGGCAGAGGAGTCCCAAGACTGATCGGTGGAACCTGGGGGGCATTCCAAGGAAGGGCAACTTGACACTTGCCTTGTTTTTCCTACTTTTTTCCTATGCCCTTGTAGTTGGCACCTGTGGTCAGGCCTGTATGGCCACTCATACCTTGGGCTATTCCTGAGAGCGGTATGGGCAGTGTTGTGGGGGTAGAGATACTTTTTGATTTGGCGATGAAGAGAGAGAACATCCCATCTTCAACCCGGTGTCTCCTACTTGACCCAGTGTCCACAGACTGTGACCTCTTTTGGGAGGTTGGCAGAGCCCCCAAGGGAGGTGTGGCTAGGGAAGCCATGTGCCCAGACTCTCAACTGGCAGCCTTGAAAAGCTATAGTAGAATTGTAGCCAATGTTGTGGCTATGACTAAAGCCACATGTTTATGTGTTTTGACTCTCAAGGTCTGTGTTTTTAAAATATGTTCCAGGAAAGAGACATTTTGGTAAACATCTCCTTGTTTATGGAGAATGTTCTGGGGGCATAAGGAAAGTCACAAATCGTGATGCCCTTCCTGTATACTGCTGACTCCTGGGAGGTCAGGCAAGTCCTCCCAGTGCAGAATCTGTGTTTTCAGGCCTTAACAATTTGGAGAAATGGGGCATGTTTGTAGGCAACTTAACAGACTCGGTTGAATGAATAGTCTTGCCAGCAGCCCCTCTTGGCCTGCTGCAAAACACTACCTAAGTGGTGAGTAGAGCATAAATACAAATGCATTGGTATATCATCGTATTTTCTTCCAGTTCCTGTCAGACTGTGTTTGGCAAGCCTCAGTGCCCACCTGTCTCTGCACCCTGCGTGGAAGAAAGCCAAGCCTTGGGACAAAGCCAGGTAAGAGAACACGCCTAATGTTCAGAAGAAGGAGCTTAGCCCTATACACACTCTCCAGCTGTAACTTTCATGCAGGAGATGTGAAATCTCACATTGTATTTATTATGAAATATGTCTGATCTAAGCATACTTTTCAGAATCCAGTTCAGAGCAAGCTGGGCATTGCCTGGTAGCATCCAGCAGATGCTAGGAGGAGAGGTGTTTTTGTTGTTTTTTCCACTTGGATTGCTTGTCAGACACTGATTTTATTAAATGTGTCATTGAAATGATGGCCAAAGCAACCTGTGCAGATCCAAAGTGACGTTTAAATTTTGAGCAATGGAGGGCTTACTTAGCACTGTGGAAAGAAGACAGCAGGAAGATGGCTGCTTGCAGGTCCTCCCCTTGGGCGGGGGTTCTGCAGAATTTAACTCTGCTTGCACAGACCTCTTAAAATCTTTCATGTAATTTTCATTTCCAAGTCTGTGTTATTGCTGAGGAAAGGGGATTTTGCACTTGTTAGAGATGGCTGACAGCAGTGTACAGAGCAGTATTACTATAGGAAATGAT